GAATATCCATAATACAAAATAAAAATGCGAACACCAGGAGAGTATAAGACAATTAAAAGTTTAGTAAAAAACCTTTAAAAACTTTTAAAAGCATACAATCATAGGGGCCAAGCTTTCGTCGGATCCTTCCGACATCCTCAGGGCACAAAGTCAATCAATGGGAAAAGCAGTTATAAATAAACCGACGCCTGCATCCGGGAGGGGAGACGATGAGTTCTAAAAGACACTCCATCCGAGATGAGAGGAAACATCTAGAGAGTGATTGTAAACCTAATGAGGTGATACGCCCCCATGGTGGTTTGACACGGAAAGGCAGCAGAAGTAAGGATAGAATGATAGCCAAAGGAGTTAATGAGGATGTTACAATGATTGGTTACCACGGCCCTATCACGAGATCTAGGGCCCGGATGCAGGCGTCAGTTTATTTATAACTGCTTTTCCCATTGATTGACTTTGTGCCCTGAGGATGTCGGAAGGATCCGACGAAAGCTTGGCCCCTATGATTGTATGCTTTTAAAAGTTTTTAAAGGTTTTTTACTAAACTTTTAATTGTCTTATACTCTCCTGGTGTTCACATTTTTATTTTGTATTACACACATATATATATATATATACAGGTAAGTCCTCTGCTTACCACAGTTCATTTAGCCACCGTTCGAAGATACAGCGTCACTGAAAAAAGCGGCTTATGACCGTTTTCACATTTACGTCCACTGCAGCATCGCCAGGGACACGAGATCGAGATTCAGGCGCTCGGTCACTCCCTTAACAGAAATTTTGGGCTTAATTGTGGTCGTAAATTGAGGGCTACCTGGGATTTGTATATCAATGATCTGCACCGGAGAGAAATTCCTTGTGTGTCTAATCACACTTGGCAAAATAAAGTAGTCAGTTCCATTCCATTCCATTCCATTCCATTCTATTCATTATTTCATTTTCTTTTCTTTTCTTTTCTTTTCTTTTCTTTTCTATTCTATTCTATTCTATTCTATTCTATTCTATTCTATTCTATTCTATTCTATTTTCCAATATCTATTCTATTCTATTCTATTCATTGCACAACTTCGGTAGATGCCAGATGCTAAATAAACTTGTAAGATGCTATCAATGTAGCTTTATAGTAGTATTCTATTCTATTCTATTCTATTCTATTCTATTCTATTCTATTCTATTCATTGCACAACTTCTGTAGATGCCAGATGCTAAATAAATAAACTTGTAAGATGCTATCAATGTAGCTTTATAGTAGTCTGCTCTATTGGGAAGCCTGTGAAATAATTCTTGGGAGTGAGATGGTAGTAGCTCTCACCCCTCTTTGTAAACAAAACACTTTGTTCGTGATAGCTTGCGTGACAGGAATACAATTGTGTTGCTGCTGGGCAGTGTTTGTGTTTAGAGGAAAAGAATACTGCTCCAAATGTAAACAGTTACTTCTTAATTGTAAACACTGATCCGATGGAAGGCTTAGCTCAACCCTGCTGAGATGCTGTGGTCCTCCTGATGGAGCGATTGCTTTTCCACTAATCAATCAAAATAGAGCTGGAAGGGACCTTGGAGGTCTTCTAGTCCAACCCCTTGCACAAGCAGGAGACCCTAGACCATTTCAGACAAATAGTTGTCCAGTCTCTTCTTAAAAACCTCCAGCTGTGAAACGCCCACAACTTCTCATCCTCACTGTCAGGAAGTTTCTCTTTAATTCCAGGTTGCTTCTCTCCTTGATTAGTTTCCATCCGTTGCTTCTTCTCCTGACTTCTGGTGCTTTGGACAATGAGTTGACCCCCTCCTCTTCTTTGGGGCAGCCCCTCAAATACTGCAACGCTGCTATCATGTCCCCCCTGGTCCTTCTTTTCTCTAGACAAGTCGTACCCAATTCTTGCAACTGTTCTTCATATGTTTTAAGTCTCCAGGCCTTGAGATGATTTGAGTTGCTCTTCTCTGCACTTTTTCCAAAATCTCAACATCTTTTTTGCATTGTGGCGCTCTACTTTTATTTATTTATTTAACCAATGGATGATGATGATGATGATGATGATGATGATGATGATGATGATGATGATAATAATAATGTTATCCATTCAGTTTTGTCTGATACTTGGCGATTCTCTGGGCCAGGGGGTCTCTCCACCTCTTCCAACCTTGCGCTGCTTCTTTGGTACCTTGCGCAATAGTAGTAACTGTGAGAGGGATCTCGGAGTCCTAGTGGACGATCCCTTAAATAGGAGCCAGCCGTGTGCTGCAGCTGCCAAAAAGGCCAACACAGTGCTGGGCTGCATGAACAGAGGGAGAGAATCAAGATCACGCGAAGTCTTAATACCACTTTACAATGCCTTAGTAAGGCTACACTTGGAATACGGCATCCAGTTTTGGTCACCAGGATGTAAAAAAGATGTTGAGGCTCTAGAAAGAGTGCAGAGAAGAGCAACAAAGATGATCAGGGGATTGGAGGCCAAAACATATAAGGAACGGCTGCTGGAATTGGGTATGTCTAGTTTAACGAAGAGAAGGACGAGGGGGGACAGGATAGCAGTGTTCCAGTATCTCAGGGGCTGCCACAAAGAAGAGGGAGTCAAGCTCTTCTCCAAAGCACCTGAGGGCAGGACAAGAAGCAACGGATGGAAATTAATCAAGGAGAGAAGCAACCTGGAACTAGGGAGAAACTTCCTGACAGTGAGAACAATTAACCAGTGGAACCACCTGCCTCCAGAAGCGGTGAATGCTCCAACTCTGGAAGATTTTAAGAAGAGACTGGACAGCCCTTTGTCTGAAATGGTATAGGGTTCCCTGCCTGAGCAGGGGGTTGGACTAGATGACCTCCAAGGTCCCTTCCAACTTTACTACTACTACTACTACTACTACTACTACTACTACTACTACTACTATTACTTCTTCTTCTTCTTCTTCTTCTTCTTCTTCTTCTTCTTCTTCTTCTTCTTATTATTATTATTATTATTATTATTATTATTATTATTATTATTATTATTATTATTATTATTACTATATAGCTGCCCAACTCACATGCAGCAACTCCGTCTCTGACAGGTTCCTGGGTGAAGCCCACGTGTGCCTCCGGGATGTCTTGGCCTCCCCCAATCTGTCCGCCAGCTTCAACGCTCCTTTGCTGGATGCCCAGAGGCAAAACACCGGGGTAAGTTCCACTTTAGGGGTGAAGGGGGGGGGCTCTCCTGGCCTGTGGTGGGAAGGAAAAGGACCCTTTGCTGATGCTGGAGCGAGCTGGGGAACACTGGGAGTTGAACGTCCACCCGTCTTCAAGGGGGAGGAACGGTGCTCTGGAGTAAAGAGGCTGGGGGCAGCGTGCCAAACTGGGCCTGGGTCTCCCCGGAGTTATGGGGGATGCAGTAGGGCCAGGTGAGAAAGTGGGTGGTGGGAGAAAACCTGAATGTAGCGTTTCTCCATCTTGGCGACTTGAAGATGGCATGCTTCTCAACCCTGGCTGCTTGGACTTCAACTCCCAGAATTCCCCAGCCAGAAAAAATGGCNAGGCTGGGGGCAGCGTGCCAAACTGGGCCTGGGTCTCCCCGGAGTTATGGGGGATGCAGTAGGGCCAGGTGAGAAAGTGGGTGGTGGGAGAAAACCTGAATGTAGCGTTTCTCCATCTTGGCGACTTGAAGATGGCATGCTTCTCAACCCTGGCTGCTTGGACTTCAACTCCCAGAATTCCCCAGCCAGAAAAAATGGCGTGCTTCTCAACCTTGGCTGCTTGAAGCTGGCTGGGGAATTCTGGGAGTTGAAGTCCACCCACCTTCAAGTTGTCAAGGTCGAGGAATGCTGTTCTAGAGAGCATCTAGAAGGGCACTGAGCAAGGATTGATTTTAATTTATATTCACTGCCTGGGTCAAATATTCGTGGAAGGGCCTCTTATATCATGTTACCCTCCATAATTGTGACAGCTCCTAGGTTACTACCTGTTCCATTTTAAGGGCGGGTGTAGACCCCCTCCGTCTCCTCCCTGGCCACTCTTTTCATGAGGAATGGTGATCGCCTAGGATTTTTGCTTTAAAGTTAATATCAGATAACGGGGTTTGGCGCTTAAGTCGTTAACTAACTTGAAAGGGTGGGAAGTTGTGGTTACAACGGCTTCCCTGATCTGTGCGGTGCAGGGCATAAATAATAAGAACCCTCACCAGATGGGAGTCGTGTGGGGGGGATTCAGGCAGAGGGTCCCTTTAATGCAGCCGCCTCGGCCTGAATTAAAGAAGCAGCTGCTTTAAAGAGGCCCCATTTCACCAGGTTGTCCAAGCATCTGCAGGTAAGCCAGTTTTTGGAGGGAGCATCTAAGCCTTTGGGTTGACGTCCTTCATCCAATTTTGCAGGGGTGTCTGATTCTCCAAGTCTCCTACACGCCACCGCCGGGGGCAGCTCCTTTCATCCCTCCTCCGGCCCCTCCGGAGCCAAATCCGACTCTCCCTGAGCTGGACACGGTGACAGGTAAGGAGGTGAACCAACTCTGTCCCAGGGCAGACCTGCCAAATAGAGGGGACCTTGAAGGTCTTCTAGTCCGACCCTCTGCTCAGGCAGGAGACCATCTACCATTTCAGACAGGTGGCTGTCCAGTCTCTTCTTAAAAACTTCCAGTGTGGGAGCATCCACAATTTCTGGTGGCAAGTTGTTCCACTGGTTAATTGTTCTCACTGTCAGGAAATTGTCCCTTAGTTCCAGGTTGCTTCTCTCCTTGATGGGTTTCCACCCGTTGCTTCTTCTCCTGCCTTCAGGGGCTCTGGAGAATAGGCTGACCCCCTCCTCTTTGTGGCAGCCCCTCCTAAGAAGAAACTGGACAGCCATTCGTCTGAAATGGTATAGGGTTTCCTGCCTGGGCAGGGGGTCAGACTAGATGACCTCCAAGGTCCCTTCCATCTTCTTCTTCTTCTTCTTCTTCTTCTTCTTCTTCTTCTTCTTCTTCTTCTTCTTCTTCTTCTTCTTCTTCTTCTTCTTCTAATAATAATAATAATAATAATAATAATAATAATAATAATAATAATAATAATAATAATAATAATAATAATAATAATAATATATTGGGAGACTGCTATCCTGTCCCCCCCCCTCGTCCTTCTCTTCGTTAAACTGGACATACCCAATTCCAGCAGCCGTTCCTTATATGCTTTAGCCTCCGGTCCCCTAATCATCTTTGTTGCTCTTCTCTGCACTCTTTCCAGAGGCTCAACATCTTTTTTTTATATCGTGATGACCAGAATAAAGCATTTTTTTGCCTTTTGATTCTGAATGTTCTTCCTTGCTTTATGCTTTCTAACCTGTCCCACCCCGAAGGCCGGTGCAGACCAGGAGCGAAGCAACAGACCTGGGAAGGGATCATCGGTGACCGTTCCATGGACAAGTTGACGGAGGGATTTTTTGTGTGTTTTGCCCCTGCTTTCCTCTGAGCTAGCTGGCAATGCCCAGTGGTGTCCCTGACCTTGCTTATCTTTTGGAGGTCTGAACTGGGCAAACAAGCTGGGTAGCTGAAGCAAAGTCCGAAGGGATTTCAAGCTAAGGTTCCATCATGGCTAACATCCAGTGATGGATATGTTTTCATTAATCAGAATCCCAGAATATCAGAATATCAGAACAATAGAATGATAGAACACCAGAATATCAGAATATCAGAACAATAGAATGATAGAATATCAGAATATCAGAATATCAGAACAATAGAATAATAGAACACCAGAATACCAGAATATCAGAACGATAGAATGATAGAATATCAGAATACCAGAATATCAGAATAATAGAATGATAGAATAATAGAATATCAGAATGCCAGAATATCAGAATAATAGAATAATAGAATCCCAGAATCCCAGAATCCCAGAATACCAGAATATCAGAACAATAGAATAATAAAATACCAGAATATCAGAATATCAGAACAATAGAATAATACAACACCAGAATATCAGAATATCAGAATATCAGAACAATAGAATAATAGAATACCAGAATATCTGAATATCAGAATAATAGAATAGCATATTACCAGAATATCAGAATAATAGAATACCAGAATATTAGAATAATAGAATATCAGAATATTAGAATAATAGAATATCAGAATAACAGAATACCAAAATATCAGAATAATAGAACAATAGAATATCAGAATGTCAGAAATTCAGAATAACAGAAAATCAGAAAATCAGAATAACAGAATAATAGAATAGCAGAACAACAGCATGATGGAGTCGGAAGGGGCCTTGGAGAACTTCTCATCTTTCCTGCTCAGGGAGATCCGATATCCTAAAATCAAAGCTTAAATCCGTTTGATACGAAATATTTCTTTTTCCCATCTGAATTGTTTTTTCCGGCCTTTTTTAGTCCCGGAAGTTTGTCAGTGATCTTCCTGGCCATTCTTAGAGATTTAATCCCACGGGAAGCAACGTCGTCGTCTCCTTTCGCTAGGCGAGGCTTCCAGGGTGAGCTGTCCTGAGAAGTGGGATGGGCAAACTCAGTGCCCTGAGCCTCTTTCTCCTGCAGACACGGGGGGAGAAGAAGACAGTGAAGACCAGCTGGGCACGGAGGAGGAAGCCGAGCCCTCCGCGAGACCCTCGGCTCCTGATCAGCCTTCCTTGCCCAAAAGGCCCCCCTCCCATGTTCTTCCTGCGAGTAAGAGAAGGAAGAGCACTTCCCGGAAGCTGCTCTCCAACAAGCCCCAGGATTTCCAGGTGAGCAACCTCAAGCCCACCTTTGGACAACCTTCATGGAGGTCCTGACCTTCGTCCAGCTGTTGGAGGGTTCTGCCCTTCATCTAAGGAGGGTTTCAGGAGGCAAAAGGGCTTCAAGCGATGAGTCTGAATGAGCCTCTCGCTGCTGGTGGAGACCATCTGCCCCTGCTTGAAGCTCCAGTGGTCCAGCGTGGCTGGAAGCCCTGAACACATTTGCTAGGGACTTTGTGTCGGAGGGTGAAAAGGACAGGCACCCATCCAGATGTGCAACCAGTGTGTTCGTCTGCCAGCTGGGGGACGGTCTAGGTTTCCTTCTTGGTGGTTCTTTGATCCAGACCATCAGGGAGAAGACAAGGCTCACATGGAGGAACTACCAAGGAGGATGCTACAGCTGGACCAACACTGGCAGGGCAAATTACTGTGTATAAACAAAGAGAGAACACTCCCTCCCTAGCACTGATGATGTTACCTAGTTGGGTTATGAAATGTCTGCAAGGAAACCACCCAGCTCAGAGAGCACCAAAGAACCCACAGTCTGTTCCTTCCTTCCTTCCTTCCTTCCTTCCTTCCTTCCTTCCTTCCTTCCTTCCTTCCTTCCTTCCTTCCTTCGTCTTCCTCCTCCTCCTCCCTTCTAGCACTGATGACGTTACCTAGTTGGGTCATGAAACATCTGCAAGAAAACCACCCAGCTCAGAGAGCATCAAGGACCCCACAGTC